GAGCCACAGGGCCACATAGAGCCCACAGAGCCGCCTGAGGAACCTTAGAATAGACGGTGACATCAGACGAGACCGGAACGCCCACCTGGAGGAACCTAATAATCCTGAATAGACGATCGAGTGTCCGAGACGCAGATACCTGGTGCTGAGGAACCCAAGAGGAAGTCTCAGATCTGATGGCGTGTACTGGACATGGAAGGTGGAACCGTGTCCTTATGTTTCTAGAACATGACCTATGGAATCCCTACAGAGACCCTCCGGAGTGACAACAGAGAGTCCGTGTTCTATAAGAAGCTGATCCCGGTCTGTGTGAAGCACAAGAAGGGTTCTTACAGGTTAAAGGGGATCTTCACCCCAAGAATACGCTTTCTACCATCTCAACACCCCCTCATAGTCCCTAATAGACCCTCATAGTCTCCAAGGGCAACTGTCTGCAGATCCCACAGAGTCACCTCGTATGAAGTTTTCCACAAGGGAGTGAAACGCGACATTCTTCAAAAGGTCATTGGAGCCAAAACCCGACCCCTCAGGGTATGGAAGGCCAAATGTTGACCCAGACCGGAGAGCAGAGTACATTTGTCCCACAAAGTTCTTGTCGTCTCGGAGAAGAAGGCCTCTCGGGGTGATGATAGACTTTGTGAGGAGTTGACTTCCTAGCGTCCATGAGCATGAGACTAACCAATCAGATGACCCCTGGACTTCAACAGCCGGGCCCTTAGAGCCAGTAACCAAGAAGCGGGAAGGTGAACTATTCCTTGGGGCAGAAGATTTGGACAATGTGGGAGGAGCCAACCAGCTATGCCTCTGTGGAGGTCCCACTACCTCCTGGGCCTGAGAATCCCTGAAATGCCCTCCATCCCAAGACATAGACCAGGATGACCTGATTTCACCGGGATCACCAAACCATTCACTGCGAAGGCTCAAAGATCCCGAACCCGGAGACGGCCCCCATCAGTTTGTTGCTGAACCTGAAAGCCAGGAGGTCCATGTCCACCCGCAGCAGAGGGGCTTGAAACTCCCCCCGGGGGAAGGGACCATTCTCCATCCAAACCACTGAGGAAGTTTCCTCCTGGGATGTGCTCAGTAGGCTGGAGCATGCTGGGAGTGGGAGGAGCTGTTTTTCCAGTGGCCAATCATTGAAAGGCAGCAGCATAACCCAATGTACCTGAATTACATCCTGTGTCCTGTAATGTACCAGAAAGAAATCTATTTTTAATGTTTCCTGTCCGATGACCAGCAGAGGTCTTCAGGAACCTCAAACTCCACACGTCTAACACATGAGTTTGTTCTTCAGAAGAAGAAACTTTATAGAAACGAAGAATCATTTCAGAACAGAAACTTGTTGATATTGTTAGCCGCAGCCTTCAATCTGACCCTCGCCTTCCTGGCCAGGAGTCAGTCTATGAAGGTTCTGGAATATGTGAACTCTCCGTGTGTCAGTCCCGGAACACGTCGGTCCTTCTGCTGCTTACCAAGAACACAACGTTGGTCTGCTGGTACAGAGCTCGGGCCACACTGATTCGCTGGCGCTGACCCCCGGACAGGTTTATACCCTGAAAGTCACATGACAGCCGGTAATAGACACAGAAATAATACAACGTCATCGTCTCTCACACAAGAAGATACAAGATGGACACTCACCCGCTCCCCAATCTGCGTCTGGTCTCCGTGTGGCAGGATCTCCATGTCCGGTTGCAGGGAACAAGCGTCAATGACAGACTTATATCTGCAGAGGAAATATCATCTCCGTACATTGGTCACTGCCGAAATCTGGATGTTCCCCTGAAAGCTGAGTGACCCAATGTGACCTCTGTGACCTTGTGTGATGTCATGTGACCTTGTGTGATGTCATGTGGCCTCTGTGACCTTGTGTGATGTCATGTGGCCTCTGTGACCTTGTGTGATGTCATGTGGCCTCTGTGACCTTGTGTGATGTCATGTGGCCTCTGTGACCTTGTGTGATGTCATGTGGCCTATGTGACCTTGTGTGATGTCATGTGACCTCTATGATGTCATGTGGCCTCTGTGGCGTTGTGTGATGTCATGTGGCCTCTGTGACCTTGTGTGATGTCATGTGACCTCTGTGACCTTGTTTGATGTCATGTGCCCTCTGTGACCTTGTGTGATCTCATTGGGCTTGTGTGATGTCATGTGACCTCTGTGACCTTGTATGATGTCATGTGACCTCTGTGACCTTGTGTGATGTCATGTGGCCTCTGTGACCTTGTGTGATGCCATGTGACCTCTGTGATGTCATGTGACCTTGTGTAATGTCATGTGACCTCTATGATGTCATGTGGCCTCTGTGGCGTTGTGTGATGTCATGTGGCCTCTGTGACCTTGTGTGATGTCATGTGACCTCTGTGACCTTGTGTGATGTCATGTGACCTCTGTGATCTTGTGTGATGTCATGTGGCCTCTGTGACCTTGTGTGATGTCATGTGACCTCTGTGACCTTGTGTGATGTCATGTGACCTCTGTGATCTTGTGTGATGTGATGTCATGTGACCTCTGTGATCTTGTGTGATGTCATGTGGCCTCTGTGACCCTGTGTGATGTCATGTGGCCTCTATAACCTCCATGAATTCCCCTTACTGGCTGACAACCACCAACATCCCACAATGGTCCACCTAGGACTGACAACCCTTCTATACACACCGGAGTCCCTGGGCATTGTGGGAAATCTTACTTCTGTTTATTGAAGGGACTCTGGAAGGTGATGTTCTCCTCCACGGTGGCGTTCAGCAGCCATGGTTTCTGGGAGGCGTAGGCCACCGCAGCCCTCCGCCTAGAAGAGAAGACACACTGACCAATGTGATCCGTCCCGTGACCTCAGTCCCAGACCTCCTCATGGATCCATCAAACCTGCTACGTCCCCCACAGGGGGCATTAGTGGGATCACACATGCCACGGGGCAAAAGAATGATAGGCAGGTAACTCCTTCTAAAGGTAAGCATAATATATCATAGAGATCTACAGGTACCCTCTATAGGTAGGTATACAGGTAGGTGACACCCTCTATAGGTAGGTATACAGGCAGGTGACACCCCTATAGGTAGGTATACAGGTAGGTGACAACCCCTATAGGTAGGTATACAGGTAGGTGACACCCCCTATAGGTAGGTATACAGGCAGGTGACACCCCTATAGGTAGGTATACAGGTAGGTGACACCCCTATAGGTAGGTATACAGGTAGGTGACACCCCTATAGGTAGGTATACAGGCAGGTGACACCCCTATAGGTAGGTATACAGGTAGGTGACAACCCCTATAGGTAGGTATACAGGTAGGTGACACCCCCTATAGGTAGGTACACAGGCAGGTGACACCCCTATAGGTAAGTATACAGGTAGGTGACACCCCTATATGTAGGTATACAGGTAGGTGACACCCCTATAGGTAGGTATACAGGTAGGTGACACCCCTATAGGTCGGTATACAGGTAGGCGACACCCCTATAGGTAGGTATACAGGCAGGTGACACCCCTATAGGTAGGTATACAGGTAGGTGACACCCC